GACTAGGTCCCGTAGATTTTTACTTCTTCATTGGAGAAGGTTTTTCCACGTTAAAAATTGCTTATGTTCTCTCTCACTCCTTCTCTCTCTTTCCTATTTGTGTTTTTGATTTTCCGCTGCGCTGTCCGACCTGGTAAAGTTCAGGCCGAGGTATTGCCGAGATCCGAGATTGAGGATCTCATTAACTGACTTCTGCAAAGGCTCCTGAGCCGAGCTTGAGGGAACCGAGTTCCCAATATTTTAGCAATCAATAAGTCCCACATAACTTTTAATCGTTTGCATCAGAATGAGAATTTCACAGCGAGTTTTGCAACAAACACAATTTTTGAATAAAAGTTTACAATCATAAAATATTGTATTCATAACTTAACTTTTAATCAAAATCAAGTTAACAGAATCAAGTTTGTTCTATGTATTCCTCTATCCGTAGAGGGTATTCTTGTTCTTATTTACGGTGATAATTATATGTCTCATGATCAAGGATATTTGAGATTTTTTGCTTATATCAAAATTTATCAAAAGCTAATTTTGTACACTCTAATCAAAATCAGCATCATTATTTGTTATCTTAAATTAATGGGTTCTTTTTACACTATTACCGATATGAAAAAAAATAGTATTCAATTGTCAACTGTTACTATTAGAAATAAGATTGACGACGGATTCAAGCAATAGTACATGATTTCATAAAATCGTATGATTTTTTCGATCTAAACAAAACAGATTTTTCATAAATTTAGTTCAATATGTTCTATTCGATAAGGGTAAAGGGTTGATAGATGAAATCAAATAAAAAATAAAAAATAAGAAAAAAAAGCTTTTGTTAAAGTGGACAAAAAAGTAATTATCTGTGAAATTAATGTCCAAATAGGGAGCTATAACTAGGGGTGTAAATAGGCTGGGCTGGGCTGGGCTTTGGCCATTCTGGCCCAAGCCTACGTCAAAAAAAAGTCAGCCTATCTGGCCTATTGGCCTATTAAAGGCTTTATTTGTAGGCCAAGCTCGACCCATTTTCAAAAATAAGAAAGCCTGACATGGCCTACAGGCCTTGTAGGCCTCCCACTATATATACTAAGCAAAAAAAATAAATGTATAGAGCAAAGAAAGTTCCATTCATGCATACACTAGTACTTCTCATAAGAAAAAAAATGATAAATAAGAAAGAGTCAACATAATACCTCAGCTCTAGAATGTATATCATAGAGGAATAGAGTCGAAGAAATGGGAAAAATAAGAAAAATACAATTACTGGATGCTGAAATAAAGTCTACAAGAGAATGTCATTCATCTAAAAATCTTTAAACCACCATCAAGACAAGGGAAAGAAGATTATTATTGAAAGATCTTCATCAGTAACATCATAATCCAGCAAGGTACCCATTGTTCCATGGTATTAAGCTGCAACAGCATGTAAAATTTGGAGACATTATACAAGTTTTTCTTTCACAAAATAAAATAGCACAAAAAGTAAGAGATTTTGGTATTTGGTACTTTGTGTCTTTGTCACATAAAATAATAATAATATATATTTTATTTTAATAAATTAAATAGGCCAGCCTACAAGGCTGTAGGCCGGGCTTGACAAAATTGGCCTATGGCCTATTTATTAAAAAAGCTTTTTTATAAACCTAAGCCTACTCTACTTTTCTGAAAGGCTGGGCCTGAGCTGGGCTCAATGTAGGCCGAGCCGTAGGCTGGGCTGGGCCAGCCTGGCCCATTTACACCCCTAGCTATAACCATGTCATTAATGACCAAAACAAAAAGTAAAAAAAGAAAGAGAGGGGGGGGGGGGGGGGGGGGAAACCATAACTCATTTAGTCATCAACTCACATATTATATGGGTATAATATATAATTCGATATAACAAGTCTATCCTTTTTATAATGTTAATAACTTTTTTCTACTTCGTCCTAAAATAATTAGGGAATTTATTTCTCAAAAAATCTTATTGTACTACTTTTTCCAAACAAATTACGGACAAATCTCTCATTACTTTTTTTTTCTTGTGTGAATTAAGTTTTAGTTTTACGCCATCGAAGGTGATACATCAATTTGTTCCGTCATTTTCATATCACATTTCCTGAAAACTTTTTAGCGTAGACTTATCATCAGATGTATTGTTTTTTTTGTCTTAATTGACTTTTGTTTTGGTCATTAATGACTTGGTTATACCTCCCAATTTGGACCACAAATTCACAAAAGCTTTTCTATGATCGTGAAAACCAATAATGTAAGGATGATAAGTTTTTTACACGATCCCTTAACATGAATACGATATAGATGATTCATTTTCAAATCGTGTTATGTTTGTATTAGCATAAATTAATATAAAAAAATTATGTTGTGTTACATGTTATCCACAAATACAAAATTGATGTGTTAATATTTTTGTAAGTTACTTGAGTCTATCTTATCTGTCGTGTATGTTAACCCAGTTGATAATTTATTTATGTCATGTCATAATAATCATCAAAATAAGTAATTTATGTTTGTATCAACGGTTTTAACCCGTTTTCAAATTTGTGTTATGTCATATTAAATACATTTGTGTTTGTGTAAAAATTCCATCCTATCATGTCAATCCAAATTATCACCCTAATGTTCAGTTGATATTGATGTAAAGAACCATTTCAATTCAAAACCTTAAGATGTTGGATGAAGACTTTTTTAATGGTTTATATTATTCTCTAACACATCTCGAACTCATGATTTTATGGTCACTTAAGCTCTGATATCATGTAAAAAAATTATTTCAACCCAAAATCTTAAGATATTGAGCGAGGACCTTTTTAATGGTCTATATTATTTTCTAACATATTGAGATCAAGTTAAAAAATTTAATTAAGCAGTGGCTATAAAATCCTGCAACATCAATGCCACTATCTGCTGTAAGGAATTTAACGGGATCTCAGCTTTATATGCACATAAACGTTTTTAGAAGAGAAATTTACACAAGTAAAGACCATTTAATATATATGGTCAGTTTTTCCAGCAGAACTGCAGAATGAATTGCCTTCCTTTGGGGGTGGGTTCATGAAACTGATTCATCACCTGTAATTTGCATACAAAAGGTTAAGATATTGTTAATCCTCACCACATTCTGTTATACAATAGAGGAATAAAATAATCGAAAAAAATAACAGCAATATAAATAAACTATAACACTTGGCCACAAGCCAACCCTTCCCCATCAACTTTCTTTCATTACCTTAATAAGCATGTTCCCTTTGATCTTTTCACTCTATCTTTTCCAAGACATTTCACTCTTATAGCAACTATGGGAACTAGGACAAGCATATTTACAAGACAAAGTTGGTTGCTATATTGAGCAAACTATCTTGTGAGTACTTAACCTTCCTCCAATAATTTGATGTGCAAGATGGGGGGAGTAACCAAATTGATGTTCTCTTTTCATTCAAGAAAGGTAATAGATAATAAAAAAAAAGTGGGTGACATGGGGTGGGGGGGCATACAGATTGCACTGCAAAAAAAGACACTGTGATGTCTTATCCTTCATTAAGGTTGAAGTTAACCCAAACTTGAAATGAATGAGGTGAATATAAACATCCCATCAAACAAATTGTGCCGTAAAATGGTGGCAAGCACAAGGAAGATGTCTCTTATGAATGGCATGAAATTGTGTTCTCTTTTGTTGCTATTTATTGCATTATACCCATAAATGGCTATAAGAAAATAGTTACACCTATGAGACGTGTCATTCTATGGAATATGGAAAGATGAATCAGAAGAGCATTCCAAGTTCCAAAAAAAATAGAAGTGCAAAGTGAAAAGTGAAAACAAGAAAAGAACGATGATGAGGGAATATGTTAATATGTGTATATGTGTGGTACAATTATCTTCATTAAATTTCTCATTGATGCAATTTTCCACCTTAAATATTTAAATGTCTCATCAATTTATAACACTATGAACGTAAATTATGTTAATTAAAAGCTTAAATAAATTTTTAAAAAAAACGTACGCTTTTCTTTTACTTTTAACTTAAAGATATAAATGTTGAATTGGATTATTAGAGATGTAATAAGATGATAAAAGCAGACAAAACAATGCCACTAGACGAAAGTGGTTGATAATTAAAGCATAGAACTTTTGGATGTGGTTGACAATGTGGATTGGTAGTGGAAATGTAATACACACTCTTAATGGACATTCAAAAATGCACGATTTCTTCTTTCTAGTTGTCCTTTGTTTTTCCAGAGTGACATTTTTAAAGTGACTCTTAAATCCCCTCTTTATGTTAACCGTTCATATGAAATAATAAATGCATGAATTGAATGCTTTGATATTTCGTATGCAATTACAAACTGTTCTTTTACCCTTCCTATGTAGATGCTGTGTATTCCTTTTTCTCTTTTATCCTTTTTCGCTCCATAATTTTATTTATACATCGTAATTTTACGGGGAAGGATATTGTGACAACCAAGTTGTGTTACTACCAAGTGACTACCAATTAATCTCACCGTTAGATCGATTATGTTGATCCAACGGTTATATTTATTTGCATCTTTGTATGGTTATGATTTCTTATATTTAAAGTGAAAGCATTAAATATGGGAAATCATTTTCACTTTAAATATAGAAAATCATAACCATATAAAAATAGAAATAAATATAAAGTATTAAATTTGGAAAACTATGACCATACAAAGATGCAAATAAATATAACCGTTGGATCAACATAATCGATCTAATGGTGAGATTAATTGGTAGTCACTTGGCAGTAACACAACTTGGTTGTCACAATATCCTTCCCCTAATTTTATATCTTTTTCTTTTTTTAAAAGTAAAAGATAGGAAAGGAAAAGGGTAAAAATGGAGTGTATGAATAACTTTTTTTTTTTTTTTCTTCTTTGTTATTCTCATGATTTGTTCACTGCTAATAACTCAATTCATTGATGAAATGCTACCGTCTCAAACTTCTATATATTGAAGTCATGAAATACAAGAAATGCTTAAGCTTTTGCTTGCCAATGAACAATTGTGTGAATTTTTCACTAATCCCCTGAAACTTCCTCTAGTGCAAACAAAACAAAATCCCTGGGAAGCCAAGAATCAACACATAAAAGAGTACAGTTACCTAAACACAATTACATACACATCACCTCGCATATGCAGAGTTTTCACCATCTGATTATACTAGCTATTTTTTGCACATTTATATTTTGATTCTGCCACATTCCCGGATGCAAAGTGATTTACTTCAAAGAGAAGTGCAACTAGCATTTTTCCACATGAAAATATCAAAAAGTGAGTTTTTCTTTTTTGTTTGACAATGCTGGTGAAGAATGACCAATTTAAACAACATAATCAATAGGGAACATAATGTTACTTTGAATTAATCTCGGTCCAATTTTGTACCTCTTAAGCAATCTTCAGCTAGCAGAAGCAGGGTAGGCACTATTGGTTGGAACCTCAATTGCAGAAGAAATTTCCCTATTCTTGCCACTGCAATTGTTTCCCAATTGCAGTTCTGAAACACAAGGAATTGCATTTGCATCTTTCCCATCAACACCATGATCATAGAGAAACCCTTTGAACACATGGCCACTAATATGAACCGTGGCCAAATACGCAACTTCATCTTCACCATTGCCAATAGCAGAGACTCTATGGCACCTAAACACAGCAGGTGCACGAACATGACCTGGTAAACACTGCTTGAAGCCAGCATCTGCAATTCAAGAGAACCTTTCAAATTTAACCACCCAATTTCAGTGCATAATTCATATGGTGCTTATTTTGGTCATCAATTATAACAATATCAATTTATTCTATCAAATATCTCCAATTAGTTTTAATAGTACAAAATTGAATGCATATAATAAGGGATAACAAATTTAATATTCCATTATAAATAAAGGACCAGCGTGACATCTAACATATTTGTTTGACAAGGAAAATAGGAAGTGAGAGAAAAATGTTGAAAATGAAAACACCTTGGTGACAAAAGCTAGAAGCTAAGGTCTTTGGTGTGTTACCATTAGAATTGGAACTAAGAGAAGTGGCAGTGGCATTTTGTGATGACCCCACTAAAGTTTTTGGCCTCTTGGTTCCAGAAGAACCACTTTCACCCAGGGCACCACCACCACCATCACCGGCAACCACCGCTATCTCCCGCTCCCGCCGGCGAATTGAAGGAATCCACGTGCTCTTCACGTGAGTGTTGCAGTCATATCCACGTCCCTTGCAACAAGTCCTGCATCTTCTAAAGATGCAATCTTTCTTTGCCCTGTTACCACAATCTTGACACACTCTGAAGTCAGCACCATAAACCCCGTTTTCTTCATTCTCCATCCCAAGCTTGTGGCTTTCATCAACATCCACGTTGATCACACCCTTTTTTGGAGGATTCACTTCTGGGCACATCGTGAGGTTCCAATAGTTGTTGTTGTTGTTGTTGCCACACTCTTGAACCTCATTGTTTTGAGGCTGTGGCATGCAAGGAGTGGCAGTTAAGAGTGGAAAAATGCCAAAACCAACACTGAGAGAAGCTGGTGAAGGGAGAGGAAGGTTTGAACTTTGATCTGCTGAAATGGGTTGGCCATGGTGTTGGTGTTGGTGTTGGTGTCGGTGTTGGTGTTGGTGTTGATGAAGAGAAGGGGTTGGAGCTATGAGAACTAGGTCTCTAAGGCCTAACATGCTCATCGGAACAAGTTACAAGCTCTGAGATTGAGTTTTTTGTTTATTGGGAAAAGGGTGTCGTGTTCTTCATCTGATTCAGTTGTAGTTGAATGTTTAGATCTTATATAGAGAGAATGAGAACAGAACCCGAGTTTCCATTTTTTGATGCAAATGTGTGAACTATATTTTGAATTTTTAAGAGAAAAATAGAAAAAGGTAAAAGTAAAATATGTGATCTGATTTATCTTTTGATTAGTTGCATTGAAAAAGGGTGATTTTTTTTGGGTACTAAGGGCTCTATACTGCTACAGGTTCTGACACTGAAACTCCACTAACAGATTCTTGGATTGGTAAGGATGTGTAATTATTATTGAAATATGTGCTACCAAGGCAATATTTTTGTGGCTGCATTTGTAGGTGAAGGCCTATGTTTCTTCTTGCACGTTTTTGTTTTGAATTCATTTCTAGATAAGAGTCATTATGGCAAATGTTTTGTTGCAAATGGAAGAAAGAGAATTAGGAAAAAGCTAAAAAAAACAAAATAGGCTTTCCATTTTGAGATAACAGAAACAGCTACGATAAGTAAACTGATTTGGTGTTTTATTCTTGAATTTCCTTTCATATTCCATGAAATACCCATTTATTTAATCTTGTAATACTTGTATAATTTTCAGAAAAAAAAAAGTTCTTTATGTAAGTTGGAAGAAGAATTTTTTTGGCCTCCACATCACTCATCATGTGACAGAACTTAGAGTCTATTTGGTGTGATGTATAAAGTCTGATAGTATAAATTTATATTATACGTTATGACATTTTCAGTTGTTTGGTGTGACCATCATATAGTATAAGCTTATACAGCAGGACTCCTTTATACATTAAAATGATGTAAAACTTAAACCGGCCTAGGAGTGGTGGATTAAACCTGATAAGGGGTTGATATATTAATATTACTTACAAGTACAATTTTCAAGAACTAATATATCATTTTAATATTTATATATTAAAATAATTTTTTTAATATATTAATTTTTAAAATATTGGAGGATATTATTTTTATACAATATCATACCAAACGCTGGATAGTATTAAAATTTAATCAAGTCTTATACTATTAGACATTATACTATCCGACATTATCTTATACTATGCACCAAAGATGCCTTAGATTTTAATGGGCTTAAGCCAAACTTGAGTTGACATTATATGAATGATGTGAAGGAAAATAATCTTTTTTTCCTCCTATACTAAATAAGAATTTTTCTTTATTTTTAATCCATCATAGTTAGATCAAAATGGGATACTTATCGTCTTTACTAAATGGAAAAGTGTTTCTCTTCTCATAAAAAATAAATTTATATTCTATAATTCCAAAAAAAACAAAAAAATATTTAAGAATTGGAAAAAAAATCTAAAGCATTTTGAGAAAATTGATATTACAATAAAAAGGAAATTTTTGTATCGTTCTGTACTATTATTTTAAATTCCATGCATTTGTAATTTTTTACTCGAATTTATTCATCTAATTGATTTTTTATTTTTTTTCCCATTTTCTAATTTTAAAAAATGGAGCATTTTTTAACCTTAATTTGAAGTGGCTTGTTCATTTTCATAATTTTGAGAAATATACACACTGACACTATGAGTGAGATATTTCGACCAAAGTAAATTTAAAACAAAAAAACACACACAGAGAGAACAAAACATTTATCCCTTTCAATAATCACGGAGAAATAAATAAATAAGACACACTAGTACGTAACTTTTGAAATGTTAAAAATGTCCTTTTCCATGACTTTTGGTTTTTTTCGTCAAAAAAGTTACTTTCTATAAGCATTTTTTGTAATTATAAAAATTAATCTCTAATTTAAAAGTCACAGAGTACAATATAGTTGAATCAAGAAAATTGTGTTTACTTATAGGCTAAAAAACTTCTCCTGTCATTGTAAAAATCATAATTTTCTGCTACTATTATATTAAAGGAAAATTATACTCTTATCTCACAAGAGATTCATCTCTCATGTTACCCTCGCATAAAAAAATGTATCTTTTTTTTTTTTTTTAAATTGGTAGACCCCACTTCATTTATTTCACAATAGAAGACAATTTCTCTCGTACTACATGAGAGAAGTAAAGCCCTACATTAAAACATGGCTTTTTTTTTACATGGTGCTGTAAAAAAAAGCCTTCTACTGTCACTAAAGAAGTATAATGCCCTTACTTATATAAATGAAAAGGATATTGCAGTTAAATTGATATATTAAAGTTGGAAGAGTCTAATTAACCCTATATATATATATATATATATATATATATATATATATATATATATATATATATATATATATATATATTTATGGGGAAGGATTCTTTGACACCAGTGTCAAACTTTGAAATTTGACACCAAGTCTTAACCGTTGATTTTCGTCAATTAATAATTATCATTTATTGAGAATTACACTTATTAATTAATCATTAATGCCAATAAATGATAACCGTTGATTGGCGGAAATCAACGGTTAGGATTTGGTGTCAAATTTTAAAGTTTGACACCAGTGTCAAAGGATCCTATCCCATATATATATATATATATATATATATATATATATATATATATATATATATAGCCGCTTTACGTACAGTAATTATAGATGTATGATTATGATTATTCACATTTAATGCTTTCATCTTTTGTATGATTATAATTCCACATACTTCATGTTTTCAAGTATATATATGGCAAGTATTTAATTGTTACACACTGCAAAAATATAAATTTCATATATATATATTCTATCTTCTATTGAAATATCCTTTACTCCTTGAACAAAGGAAAAAATTTACTCTCTTTTTATACATTATCCCAAAGTGACTATTGAAACATTAATTTAACTCAATCACGTATTTAACAAGTAACATCATTGTTCTAATTTTAATTCTTTCACATGAATCCTTTCAATCAGACTATAAAACGAATTAAAAAAAAATTGAATTATTTGGAAGAGCTTTCTAGCCTTAACAATGCTCCATTAATGCTTGTGGGAATACATTAGTGAAAAAACAAAACAATTTTAAAAAAAGTGAATGATTTCAATTTTTATAATTTATTGCTCTTTTAGTCATTTAAGAAGAATTAAATTGTATTCAATTGTCTCCTAAAAAAATGGATTCAATTAACTTCAATTGGTTTAGTTGGAGATGCTATGTGATGCATGTCTAAATACTTGGTCACGTGTTCAACTTTGCATAAATATGCATTAAATTCATATTTAAAGCAATAAAGCTCTTAAATTATTCTAAAATATATACATTATAACATTCTCGTACTATTTTCCTGGTTGAGTAAATCCCGTACTTTGCAAAGTGTATTTCAACTTATTGTTTTTCTATTTTTTTTAAATCTTATTGTTTTTTAATATTTCGCGCTAATTACATTTTTCTATTTGAGTTTATGTACTACAGCTACCAAGTAGATATTAATTTAATCAATTGTTCACCGGATTACAATAACAGGCGCGGCCATTTTTATTTTTATTTTTATGATATCAGAATATATTAATTATTATCATTCCCATCTCATATACGGTTGGATAGGATCTATTGACACAAGTGTCAAATTTAAAGTTTGACATCTTTTTTAAGAGTCATTAGATAAAAAAAAATCAACGACTCTAATTTGTAAGCATGTGACACCATTAATCTTTTTTCATTTAATGAATCTCAAATGAGATGTCAAATTTTAAATTTAATATTTATGTGAAAGGATGCTACCCCTCGTATATATATTTTTCGTGATATGCTATATTAGTTTCAAAATAAGAAAAGATAGTACTTACCTTTGTTGCTAAGGTGACAAAAATGAAATAAAAATCTCAGCAAATAATCATTATAGTTTGAACACAATCCTTGACAATCTTCCTAATTCATGATGAAATAACTAATTAATTGGACCATCATTTACAATCGCAAGTGACTAAGTTAAATTCCTAAAAAAATCCGAAAAATTATGAAACCATAAAAAAAAAGTACTAACATTTGATGGTTGATCAACTGTGCTAATCTTAATGTCATTAAATTTGGGGACACGGTTAGGTAAGCATCACCGAAGGTTTCTAATACTGCAATTACTTAAAATAATAATAAAAATGAAAAAAGGGTTAGGGGGACCAACCTACCGTCTATAAAGCACCATAGAGAGTCTATGTAGGTCAAGATCAGAGCCTAACCCTAATTGCCCTATAGATTTGCCTTGTTGGAAATAAAAATAGCCCACTATAGCCCTATATAACCCTAGCCTAGGTACCTTATTAGTCATTCCACTGCACAAAAGTTGGCCCTCTTTTCTTGTGTAGCCAACAAGACTGACAATGATGTGGCATAATGAGGTTTTTCTTTACCTAATTATTTAACTCTTTTTGTTTTTTATATTTTGGCCTTATTGGATCAACAAAGTGTACATGAAAAAAAAAAAAAAAGAACTTCAAAGTTAGTGATTTTTAAAATAAACAAATAAAAATATGTTTATTTTTAAATTATGTTAATAACTTAAAAGTATACTTTATTAAATTTACTATGAGTATATCCTTATTAATTTATCTTAAAAGACAAACTCATTTTTAAAAAAATTGTATTTTATAATAAATATTTTCTGGCGGCGATATACTGATAGAATATGTTTGCCACTGCATTTATGCTCGTCTATTTAATAAGGGAGTAGATTCTCTTACGTGAAAAAATGATTATGTAATCATATTATTTGATCACAATCATTTATTTAAAAATTATATATTTTTTACTCTCTTATATCATCATTAATAAGTGATTGTGATCAAATAACATGATCACATGACCACTTTTTTACATAAGAAAATCCATTGAGGCGTTTGGTACAAGATATTTTGTAAAATTTTCAAAAAACTGAATTTTTTAAAATTTTTAATTTTCAAATATTATCGTAAACTGAATATTTTATCATATTTCTAAAAATTGAGATTTTCGGATAAAAAGAAAAATTTCCCTTACCAAATGCGTTAGTGTATCTTATCCTTATCATCAATTTTTCTCCTATATTTCTTCCGTCTTTTTTTTTTTTTTTGATAACACTATTTCTTCGGTCCTTATCTCTCTTTTCCTTTTTTGATAAACAACGTCTTTGATGTTTTCTTTGAAGACTCATCATGAAACAACACAATAAAAAGATGACCAAAATATCACGGATTTAAGTTTGAAAAAAAAATTTATATAAAAATAATATATATGATAATAAAATTGCATATAATTAACCTTCATTCCTACCCTCTAAAGTCATAGAACCTCGTGCACTAGAATTTACTCTTTACAAATTGCATACTTTACAAATTTTATTGCAAAAGATGCAGAATTGATTAAAAAAGTTAGAGGATAACCGGTATAAAGGCAATATGTATTTTAATTATAATTATCAGTGTTGAAAAATTATATATAAGTAGTTATTTTTATAAAATCTTACATTTAATTTTAACCGTTTATACATTATATGATTGTAATTTATTAAATTACATTTATTAATAAATTATAATCATCCAATATGCAAAAATCAACTATTAAAATTGAGGGTAAAGAATATCTGACTTCGTATGTACTAAATGTCAGTTTAAAATGACACGTAAAATAACATCTTCCTCTTTTTATTTAATTAAAAAAAAAAAAAAAAAAAAAAACTTGCGTTGTTGTGACATTGGCAACTGGCAACATTTAGAGATATTCAAGATATTCATTTAGAGATACACAATTACCCAATTCCTCCCGAACCTTATCCATTTCCCACCACTCCCATACATACTTTTCTCTTAATTTCAATGAATCTAATTATGTCATTTATTATATTTTTTATTTTACATTTATTGTTTATTATTTATGCTAGTCATGCCATTTATATTTCTATTTGTTCTTTAGATATATTATAGAATTTGATCTCAATTGTTAAATGCGTTAAATTATGACATAACATGAAAGATACTAGAACCTATGATGAATTGAGAGGCCAATATCTCCACTTTACTTGTGACACTTTTAACTATGCAAATTTTTCATCATTGTCTTAGTCATAGAAAGAAAGTTCCGAGTGGAATATCCTATTTCTGTAATACATATTAGTGTATGACATCTTCTCAATACTCTTAAAAGGTAACTACTTTCTAACATGTCTTTAAATTGTAAATACACAACTAATCTTTACAGGTCCCATATTGATTATCTATATAATTAATGTGAAGTTTATAGAGCTTTGAACATTTTTATCCTTTGAGCTAACTTTTGAGGTAATGATTTCAAGGTCAATAAAAATTGATATTTTTATTGAGAATTGAGGCCATAAAAAGGATTACTTATAGGCTGAATTAAGGTGACATACCTCCTAAAGGGATGTTGTATTGAATACTATCGGCCCTTAAAAAGGTGGCAATATTACAAGTCTCACATTGGTTACATATACAACTAATATGGCCTTTATAAGGTATTGGATACTCTCACCATTTGGCCTCAAGGTCGAAAAGGAAGGAGAAAGTTTTACTTATGTCTTTTACTTGTTTGTGAGTTTAAAAAAATAAAAGAAGGAAATAATTTTTTTTAGTAAAACCATCCAATACCCTTCTCCCCCCTTAAAATTAAAATTCCCTTAATTTAAGAAATTTGAAGGGAATTTTTAACTCCAAGGAAAAAAATACTCTTTATTTTTCTTCCATTTTTTTTCCTCTCTCCCATTTTGATCTCCCTTTGGCACAGACTCAAAGAAAGTAACATCCTCCGACATAAAAGAGCGACGGAGACTGGGAGAGTAACACCGATAACCTTTTTGTGTTCGGGTGTAACCGAGGAACACACATTTATGGGATTTGGCAGACAGCTTGTCACGATTGAGACCGAGTTCATGGACAAAACAATTAGAACCAAAAATACGAAGGGGTAAGGAATGTAAAGGCTAATGGGGAAACAAGATAGAACAAGATAGAGTATGGTACCTGGTTACCAAGGACAGAGGAAGGCATGCGATTAATGAGATAGCATGCGGTGAGAACAATATCACCCCAAAAGCTGGTAGGAACATTTCCATGAATTAATAGTGTCCGAGTTGTTTCAATAAGATGACGATTTTTTCTTTTAGCAACCCTGTTTTCTTGGGGGGTGTGCACACATAATGTGTGGTGAAGAATGCCATGAGAGGCCATGGATGATTGAAATGGTTGAGACAGATACTCATGAGCATTATCACTACGAAAAGTACGGACAGGAATACCAAATTGAGTAAAAATTTCATGATAAAACTTTTGAAATATGGAGAACAACTCAAAGCAGTTTTTCAATAAAAATAACCAAATGTTTCGAGAATAATCGTCAATAAAGGTAACAAATTATCTATAACCTCGAGTTGATTCAGTATGACTGAGTCCTCAAACATCAGAGTGAACCAAACTAAAAGGAGAGGAGGCACGATAATTGACTCTATCAGGAAAAGAACTGCGAGTATGTTTCCCGAATTGACATGATTCACATTGCAAAGTAGGCAGCTTGGACAAACGTGGCACCATCTTCTGAAGCTTTGTAAGACTAGGATGACCCAACTAAGCGTGAATAGTAAGTGCAGAATCTAATACATAATGAGCATGAGAGGAGCTGGAGAGCAAGTAAAGGCCATTGGACTCAAATCCACCGCCAATTGTGCTCCCCGAATTTCGATCCTGTAAAACAAAAGATTTTTAGGTAAAAGAAATGAGACAATCAAGAGAACGTATTAAACGGCTAATGGAAAGGAGATTAAATGGTGAACCAGGAACATATAGCACATTATCAATAATAATGGAAGGAAAGAGATGTACTGTTCCAATCCCATAAGATTGAACATGGGACCTATTAGCCATAGTGACAGCAGGCAAATAACCAGAGGTAGAAAGAGAGGAAAACAAAGATTTATTACCAGAAATATGATCAGAGGCACCAGAATCAAGAACCCAATGACCAAATGATGAACTTTGAGTGAAACCAACAACCTATTACCTGTATGCACAACAGTAGCAATGGAACCAGGGATCGTGAGCCGAGAAATATCTTGAGGAAGGATAAATGAGTTAGAATCAACCATGGATCAAGAACAATTTGCTGAAACAAAGATGTCGTGAACAGTAATGGAAAGAGGAGAAATGCTTCGAAAGGGCCGCAACAGACTCGAAACCACAAGGTAAGGATCGATCTGAACATGGAAGGAGAGGGCGATCCTAACGGAGGAAGCCGCACGTATGTTTCACGTGTGTGAGGGTGCGTCAGTGGGAATTTAGGAGCGGGCCTTGGACAGAAAGAACTGCCTCCTTGTGACGATAACAACTGTGGGTGGCTCGCTGGAAAAAGTTCTTGAAAAGTTATTGGTGGCGACAGTCAACGACAGTCAAATGGTGGTCCACGGTGCTGGCAACCTCTAATGACGGTGGGTCTTGTGGCATTGGGTAGATCGGCTTCTTCTGAGTTCGTTGATGTGCTTTTTGATCAAAATAGCCACCGAAAAACTTTTTCGGTGGAGGACAGTGGTAGCAGACGGTGGCCGGAAACTGACAACGGTGACAATTTCCGGGAAGACTTTTACTCGGTAAATAGTAGGTCTACCAGAAAGATGCGGATCTTGTTAGGCTCTAGATACCATGTTGAATATCAAGAACAAGAAGATTTATAAATAATCCGTGTGTTTCAACTACACAACGGAGAGTCTATTATATAACTTAAAAGAAAGAAAATACAAAGAGATATACATGATATGAGACTTTTATACTACTATTCTAAACTAATATTTACAAACCCTCCAAACTCTCAAGCACACCCTTAGCGTCCTAAACGCTAAGGTAGACATATTACGTGTTCAATTCTTTCACTTCTACGCATGCAATTGTCATTTTTTCCCTACTTTTTGCTTGGATACTTCTCAAAGATATGACATAATGCTGATTCAATATAACTTCATTTTTATCATATATATATATATATATATATATATATATATATATATATATATATATATATCTATATATAGGGCTTATCATTTCTCAAGCTGCTTAAAATAATTTCATCTCCGGCTACTATATCATAACCGTACAAAGATGGATTAATAGTAATAAAGGAAGAGAGAAAAATAAAATCATAACCATTCAAAGACGAATCAATTAATATAAGAAAATAAATAAACAATTTGGGATAGCCAGAGATAAACTTATCTCAAGTTGCCGGAAAAATATTTTTCTCATATATATATATATATATATATATATATATATAACTCTGCCCATGTGTGCTTGCATGCATGGCCTGTCCCAAGCCAGGATAAAGGAGGAGGGTTGGCGTCAGGTGTTGCGAACCGGCCGTAAAAAACAGCTATATTTTTATGTGATGAACCTATATGATTTTTCGTTGGGGCGTACCCTTCATAGCGACGCGTTGCACCGGGCCCCGGGTGTAGCGAAAAATGGGCTAGGGTCCTTGCCACAAGGCAAGGCGCTGCATCGGGCCCGAGGTGTAGTGAAAAGTGGGCTAGGGTCCTTGCCCCAAGGCAAGGCGCCAGGTCTTCACCCGGATTTGGTGAGAAGTATGCCAGGGTCCCAACACGCAGATGGGCGAGCGTGGCGGGCAAGCACAGCCCAGGGGTTAAGGATGAGATTGGGAAGCTGGAACATAGGAACCTTAACGGGTAAATTGAGGGAGTTGGCAGATGTTTTTGCTAGAAGGAAAGTGAATATTGTTTGTTTGCAAGAAACTAAGTGGGCTGGAGAAAAGGCCAAGGAAGTGGATGGAACTGGTTTCAAGTTATGGTACACAGGTACGAACAAGAGTCGAAATGGTGTTGGAATTATGATCGACAAAAGTTTCAGAGATAAAGTTGTGGACGTTAAAAGGAAAGGCGACAGGATTATTCTGGTTAAGCTTGTTGTGGGTGACTTAATCCTGAATATCCTCAGTGTGTATGCACCCCAAATTGGATTGCAACCAACTGATAAAAGCCAATTTTGGGAAGACTTGGAGGAGGTTTTGAGGGGAATACCTCGAGAGGAGAAGATTTTTGTAGGAGGAGATCTAAATGGTCATGTTGGTAAAAGCAATGGAGGTTTTGATAGAATCCATGGAGGTTTTGGCTATGGGACGAGAAACGAGACTGGAGAAGATATCTTGAATGTTGCACTAGCCTACGATTTGATGTTAGTGAACACCTTTTTTCAAAAAAGGGAGTCACACCTGATCACTTATCATAGTGGCCATAATCGTAGTCAGATTGATTTCTTTCTGGCTAGAAGAGAAGATAGAACTTCTTGTGTCGAATGTAAGGTCTACCTTGGAGAGTGTGTTGCTACGCAACATAAGCTGGTAGTCTTGGATGTTCGGTTCAACAAAGTACGTACAATGAAGAAGAGGGCTCAGAATCCAAGGATAAGGTGGTGGAAGCTTAAGGAGGGAAAAGAGAGAGAGTTCAATGATAGAATGTTGCACGAAGGACCTTGGGAGTTTGATGGAGGAGTAAATGCAATATGGAATGAGATGGCTAAGTGTATTCAAAATTTGGGGAGGAGGGTGTTGGGAGAAAGCAAAGGAAATGGATTTCATACAAAGGAAACATGGTGGTGGAATGGAGAGGTGCAAGAGGCAATTAAACATAAGAAGGAGTGCTTTAGATCTTTGCATAAAAGTCCCAATGAAGAGAACCTGCAAAAGTTTAGATTGGCGAGAAAAAATGCAAAGAAAGCAGTGCGAGAAGCGAGAGGCAAGGTTTTCGACGAGTTGTATAAAAGTCTTGGGAGCAAGGATGGTGAAAGAGGTATTTATAAACTTGCAAGGATAAGGGATAAGAAAAGTAAAGACCTCACTCAAGTTAGATGCATCAAGGATGAAAATCAAAAACTTCTGGTGAGAGATGAAGATGTAAATGAAAGATGGTTGAAATACTTCAACAAGCTGTTTAATGGGGATGGAAATACAAGCGAGGTGGACTTAGAGGACGCGTATGATGATATGAATAGAAGATTTGTACGCAGAATTAATACACATGAAGTTAAGGAGGCTTTAAAGAGGATGAAGACTAATAAAGCCTTGGGGCCTGATGGTGTCCCTATTGAAGTGTGGAGAGGCCTGGGGGATGTGGCAATAAAATGGTTGACCAATCTTTTTAATAAGATTCTCCAGACGAATAAGATGCCTGATGTATGGAGGAAAAATATGATTGTGCCTATCTACAAAAACAAGGGAGATATACAGAATTGTTCAAACTATAGAGGCATTAAGCTAATGAGTCATACTATGAAGCTGTGGGAGAGGGTTATTGAACATCGCTTGAGGAGAGATACCAAGGTTTCTGTAAATCAATTTGGATTTATGCCAGGAAGATGTACCATGGAAGCCATTTTCTTGATGCGACAACTAATGGAAAGATACCGAGAAAAGAAGAAGGAGTTGCATATGGTGTTCATAGACCTTGAGAAAGCATACGATAGGGTTCCAAGGAAAGTTTTATGGTGGGTCCTGGAGAAGAAAAAGGTTCCATTAAAGTATGTAAAGGCAATCAAGGATATGTATGATGGGGCTACTACATGTGTAAAAGCTTGTAACAGATCATCAAGTTATTTTCCTATCACGGTAGGTGTACACCAAGGGTCGGCTCTAAGTCCTTACCTATTTGCCTTAGTTATGGATGAACTAACAAAAGATATTCAAGAGGAAGTGCCATGGTGTATGCTTTTTGCAGACGATATTGTGCTTATTGATGAGAGCAAGGAGGGTATTAATAGAAAACTTGAATTGTGGAGAAGCACATTGGAATCCAGAGGCTTCACATTAAGTCCAAGCAAGACTGAGTATCTGAAGTGTGAGTTTTCTATGGTACAAGATGAGGACCAAGAACCTGTGCATCTAAATGGTCAAGAGGTACCCAAAAAAAATGCTTTTAAATACTTGGGCTCCATTTTACAAAATGGTGGAGAGATTGATGAGGATGTAAATCACAGAATCAGAGCAGGGTGGATGAAATGGCGTAGTGCATCTGCATTTTTGTGTGACCGCAAAATTCCCCTGAAGTTAAAAGGAAAATTCTATAAAACGGCAGTACGACCGGCAATGCTATATGGAGCGGAATGCTGGCCAGCACATAGGCAACATGAGCATAAGATGGGAGTAGCAGAGATGAGGATGTTAAGGTGGTTGTGTGGGTACACAAGGATGGATAAGATAAGAAATGAAGATATTCGACGAAAGGTCGGAGTAGTACCGGTAGCCGAGAAGATGAGAGAACATAGATTGAGGTGGTTTGGGCACGTGATGAGAAGACCCATGGATGCTCCTGTAAGAACAGAAGTTTGTTACCAAGAGCTAAACACAAAAAGAGGCAAAGGTAGGCCGAAGCTTACTTGGGGGAAAGTAGTAAAACAAGATTTAATGGAGTGAGATATAGATTGGCGGACAGTATGTCTTAGAAAGGAATGGAGAAAAGCTATAAGTATGGTGGAGGGTTAGACTCGCTGTTATTCCTATGTTCCAGATGGTCCTTTTTTAGTCCTTTTCCCCTTCATTTCCCCCACTTCTTCTTGTCCCTTTCTTTTTTACTTTTATTTATTTATATATACATATATTTTTATTTCATTTTATTTTATTTTATTATTTTATTTGTGTATTTTTATTTATTTATTTATTTATTTATTTTTATTTATTTTTTTACTTTTTTTCAACCGTTTTGTATCTTTCATGTGGGTTCATCTACCACCGACCCCAATTAATTTGGGATAAAGGTGTTGTTGATGTTGATATATATATATATATATATATATGGGGCATGATATTCTTAAACTGGTGTAAGAATTATAAGTCTTACACTCAATCTTGACCTTTGATCCACTTGTATCCAATGACTCACATTACTAAAAGATTTGAGCGCTTAGATATAAGTGGAATTAACGGACATGATTAAGAATGTAACTTACACTGGTGTAAAATGATCCTAACCCTATATTATATATTATTGTTATCTGTTGATACCTTTCATTTGAGTTCATCTACCACCGACCCCAATTAATTTGGAATAAAGGTGTTGTTGATGATGCATATTACTTTGTGAGGGGAGATATTTTGACTACCAAAAATGTCCACTACCATCTTACTACCTATCAAATCACCATTGGATCAAAGAGAGAGAATGTTAAAAAGTTTTTGAAGAGAGAGAAAATATTAATCCAATGGTGATTAGATAGATAGTAAAGTGGTAGTGGAAACTTTTGGTAGTCAAAATATCCTCTCTCTTAGTTTGTATCTATATTACTTTGGAAGAGAAAAACCGGTTTATACTATACATAAATTTACAGAGGAAATATATGTAAACAGTACAGAATTATTTAATTACTGGAACACAAGTAATACATAGAGAAATTTCTTTGCTCCTGCGTTAGTATATGGTTGTTACGCTTTCATTCAACCTGTGTGATGTCTTTCAATTTATTGAACAATCTCGTCCACTTCAGCAGTTGCAACAACGTTTGTATGTGTACTTCCAGAGAAAAAAAGGTATTGGAACAACAGCAGCATGTGTTCCAAAATCCCAAGCTTTGCGTCCAGAAAATACAACAAAACTTGATGCCATGGATTGTCAAGCTAACTTCTTTGCTGCTGTATCAATCAACATGGAAGAGGAACTACCATGGTTCAGAATAATTACTGAGAAAATTTCTGGCATAAGATGGCTGACTCCACCCATGTTCCATCAGGATGAGATTCAAACGCGTCATTAGTTTATACACAACATCTTCTTCCAAGCTGCTAAGAGAGTTTGATGATGTCACTTGTGTAAGTGAGTTCTGCAAAAATTGAATGATACACAGTTAACTTGGAAACGAAATCATTTGTGCATTGCATAGAATTGTACTCGTACCTTCAGTTCTTGGTACTTCTTCAGGTACTGCAGTGACTGCTCAAATAATCCACAATGATAGAGAAGAACGCTGTAATCTCTTAACTCATTTGCATCATTTTTCAGGAGGATAAGGCGCTCACATGCTGAAAGAATCGGGAAAATATTAGGAATCATTTTGAAATATGAGAAAGTTTTACCGGGGATTAATGATAGTGCCAAATATTGTTACTCAATATCAGTAAAACAGACAGGAGACAAATGCACATAGGAATAAGATCCAACAAGCATGTTAGAATATCCGGATATTATCAATATTTATTGTATCATAAAATATTTGAAGTATCTTACAATGTCTCTTTAGAATGGTTATCATTTTTCATTATACTTCCTTGTTTGGATATAATCCGAATCAGTTACAAATATAATAAAACCATTCATATGCCTTTATTTAATAGCTTAAACTTTTGGCAAAGTTGGTTCATAATATGGTATCAAAGCCTCTATGATCAAGTGGTGTAGAGTTCGATCCTTGTCGCCCCATCTTTCTAATAAAAAGGTTAAATTTCAACACAAGGTAAATGTTGTGCATTACCGTTCAAACCTCAAAGAGCTCTTGTTTGAGCGAATGTGCATTACCATTCATATACCTTCACCCAATAGCTTAAGCTTTTGAGAGAATTGGTTCATGACATTCCTAATTTATTTCCTTATTGAATTAAAATTAATCTTCTTATTTATTAGTGGACTTGGGCTTATATTATACTAGAAATACTATACTAGCCATTATAAGAATAAAGAGAACACTTAGATGAGTACTTTTGTATCCTACTATCAATACACACGGTTTTCAACATCCCTATGCTTCTAATTTCTCTCTCCCAACAACACTTAATGGGAACTTCGGAAGATAATATTTGTGCAAGTGGGCTCACTCATGGAGCTTTGGGGGTTGAGTTGATCCCCTATGACTGGGCTATTAATTTCTCCTTAAAGGGAAACAATCAGGGTCTTTATTCTTGCTTAAATTAAAACTCAAAATTAGTACTCAAGAAACAAATAAGAAAAGTAGCAAGTAGCATGCAATTCATGCCGAGAGCACTCACTTGTCCAGAAATTGTTCGGCTTTTTCAATAGTCTATACTAAATACTATTCCTATTTCATATAAAACTGCAACTAGAAAGATACTAGTTTGAATCCATAAAAAGAAAAAAGGAAGAAAGAAAAAAAGAAAGATACTAGTTTTGACAATAATCCAACAGAACAGGTTGACGCTGGAAAGCAAGGTGTCTGCATGTAAAGAAAGTAGACCAATCCCTTCCAGAAAGAAATAGAGATATCACGATGGCTTGAAAAATTCCAAAACTACAGTTTAAGAAATAGTCTGCTCAGATTTTCTCTGGATAACAGTAAATGTTCTTTTGGTCTATATTTTAAGTGTCCGGCATAAGAAAAAAATTAAAACAGTATTCTAATTGTATACACCCAAAGTGAGGAAAGTATGAGTGTAAGGAGAAAGGATATCATGAAACAGTGAAAGGAAGTTGCAAATTTGCCTTACTAGTCACTAGCCTCACACATCTCATTGAGAAGGAAATATGGAAAGCATCCTTAATAAACTTTTATCATCAAAGAATAACGAGCAAAAGTAAAGCCCTCATAATATCCGGTGTTTCTTTATCTCTAAAAAGAGAAGGTCCAATTCTGGAATATGTAAAAAGCTAAAGTACAGCTAGCCAAATTGCTAATGCGCTTTCCTTCTTTGTAATGTACCCCCTCTCTCACCTCTCCAAAAAAACAAGTAAAAAGAAAAGGGAGGAAAAGAGAGGTTAATTATGCGATTTTTGTCCCCGCAAAACAGTGCCTTAAAAGGGAAATCTTGGTTTCTCCACTTTAAAAAATCCAAAAGTAAAATAGTAAAACTAATAACAGGGAATTTAATAAAATTCAAAAGTCTAATCTGCCCCTCGAAGGAAGAAATGCGAGTTATCAACAATTCCAAGCCTATTTTTTTTTTCCTTTTCAAATATTCAAGCATAAAGCAAAAACAACATATTTTCATAGCTTGCTTTACATTAAATTACATGCTTAGTGCATTACATTCTGGATCCATCAGCTCATATCATTGGTAAAATGAAGAAATTTTATGTGGGGGGGATGGAATAGGGAGGCCATATAAAACCAAAACCTTTTAAATTGCTTTACAATATTGAGAGACAGCAGAATTGCATCAAATGCATACCAGACAATGAACGCCGCATGTCCCCAAAACGTACGCTGGTCCAAACACCACGATCCAGCCTATGTTGAGCAGCCTTAGCTGATGCAATATGAGAGCCGCTGCAGTTGACAAACTTTAAAACTAGTTCTTATATAAACTGATTACATAAGAATAAATAATAGATAGGAATGCCATTATACAAAGTACCTTTCTCCAACAAAATCAGATCCATCAACGCAGTTAGCAGCATGTGCTGCCCTTAAGAATAAAGTTTTGGTATGATCATGTTGAAAAGGCCAGAATGCATGCTTCAGATTATTTAAGATCTGCACAAATAGGTTATAACATAAGTGCTACAGAGAGGTAAAGAAGCTAAACAACTCCATAATGGTAGAGATTGTAAAAAGATACGAGTGACCCCACTTTGACAGATAGTCAAACAGGCACGGAAGAATAGGTAACAAAAGAACATCTCGAATAAAAGAAAATAAAAATAATCCAAAGTGCATGCATCCTATTTGCAGAGTAGAAGAAGCAGATGCCGATATCCAGCATATATTCATGCACCGTCTTTGAATTTATAAAAGATATTACTGAAACAGCCATGCAATGAAAACGAAGATTCACATTCCACAGAAACCCAGGAGCATGGAACTTATTTAGCTATGAACACACTTAAAGAAGCTTCTTTATTTATTTATTTATAAATTAGAAAATGGCCAAAATATTGCCATAGGGTTGATGTACTACATGAGGTTGTCACCATTGCTGGGTATGAGGAGGGTCAAAAGTACAAAACCATACCCCTTTGTTGGAGAAGTTGTCTCCACAGCTAGAACCCATGATCACTGGGTCACAAGGAACCAACCTTACCTTTGTGCCAAGGCTCATCCTAACTAGGAAAAATCTAAACATTTTTTTTATGTTGGTAGAGGAGATACCGCATAAAGCAAAAGAGAAAGGAGAGCAAGTAATCAGAAATTACCTCAACTAATATGTTTCCTGAAGTCATTACGTGTGCTTGGTCTGACTCCTTACTTTTCAGCTTGTGATAGCCTTTGGGAAGGGTATGAACATCATGAGGGAAAAATATTTCAGCATCAAAACACAAAAGGCCCCACAAACGAAGCATTTTAAGAATTTCTGAGTATATAAGTGACAGCATTGCTGCTGATCCCGTGCGGTGAGTCAAAACCTGCTCAACACATTAAAGTAATCAAACGTCTACCAATGGCAGGTTTCTGTTCGGAAACAACTTATAAATATGAGGGAGATATTACCGAGTTGAGATAAAGTGATCTTGCCTCCGACAGATTTGCATTGGATCTACTGAAACCCTATCAACAAGGAAGTGATGAGTATAAGTAAAGGGCGCCATAGCAAGAGGAAGAAACCAGTTAATAAGAATACAATTCACAAGGAGCGAGTGAAAAATCTTTATGGACTGTGAATATTAGTTCTTAACCAGAAAAGATAACATAAGATAGTGCTTTTTTATAATTACTCATTCTGCTTTTCTAGTTTCTGTGACCAGCCAGAGTATGGAGAATATAATTCCATCTCTTAATTCATTCAGACAACTAGTTTGATCAATGCATTTTTAAACCTAAAATGAAGCCAACTGCTCATGTTATCTTAAAATAACGCCTCAGAATCCTTGAGTGATTATTACACATACACTGAAATGAAACCAGCACAAAGCTTGCAATATGAAATCAAAGTACAAACCTTGTGAACATATAGAAATCTCTCTATGCTCTCTAAGAACTTCTCGGGGGATGAATCATATTCGGGCCTGTAGTGAGGACAGTAATCCATTGAAAGATCATCTAATCTTCCAATGAAAGCATCAACCGGAAGTGGAACTGATGAATGTGATACAAGAGAATCATCCTCTGCAGCTATATAAAGAGCAGTTCTCCCCAAATCAACACATCTGTTAATGCAAATGCTAGTTTGCTTGTCAATATCAGTAAATCTCTGAATTTGTGAGCAGAACTCCTCCCTGGCTTCCTGTTCATTCATCAAAGATTCAACAATGAAATTATTCTTCATTGAATCTTGAAGCTCAAAACTGAAAAATTGTAAATTTCAAATGAATCAAGATAAACCATTTTCCTTCATACCATGCTGCGAGTATGCCATACATATTGAAAAAGTAATTATGGCACAAGGGTGGGGGGACAAATTAAAAGGAAATTTCAAACTTTTGATTCAACAGTTAAAGAAAATCAAGTAAATTACGATGAAAACATTTTCCATCGTAATGAAGTCAAATATGCTTCAGATTTTAACATGACATATCAAATTATGCACGGAATTTTGGTATTTTATCAAGTTGAAAAAGAAAAGAAAAATAAGACTAAAAAACAAAACAAGATAAATTGGAAACTTTGAAACTCAGAAACACAAAAAGTCAACTAGTTATATCTTTCCCTGACTTAAACATGACATTCAAAACCCAAAAGTTCATAACTTCAAAATGAAATGAATTCAGATGAAAACCAATTTTTACCATATGGGGTGTGACAAAATCAACATGCTTCCAAACTACAATAAACATGAAAATTAAAAAAAAATATTAAAAATAAACTAAAACAGAAACAAAAACAAAACAAAAATTGTTGAAACTAAAGAGATGGGTATTACTCTGGCATGGACGGTGTCGATTCCAGAAGCATCGAGAGCATCGTGCAAGACGAACTTGAGGTCACTGGCAACATGTTGTACTTTGGAACCACCATGACACACCACGCGGGAACAAGAAGAAGAAGAAGTGAATGGAAGAGGGTATAATGGGAATTTGGAGAATATGGAGGGTATTGTGAGGAAAGAGGTTGTAGGAAGAGGAGGTGATGGTAATGGACCCAAAGAAGACATTTTTCAGTCTCTGACACAAATCTAACAGTTCTTAGGAGTAAAGCAAGTGGAGTAGATAACATAACATGGTGACCATAAAAATATGATAACTAATAATAATAACTCGATTTGTAATATAATAAAGAAGTTTTATACTTCTTTCAAGGGGTTTGATTTTCTTATTTTATATACGAATTCAATTCTCATGTTGTGATTTAATTAGTGGTGGACTCCACATTTATTAAAAAAAAGAAAAAAAAGCTTTGCACGCAACATAAAAATTGAATTCTCATGCAACATGAGAAAATATTTTCCCTTCTTTCAATAACTAGTTTATTACCTGTGCCGATGCACGGGGAAAAAAATTGATTTGTTTGTCTTGTAAAAGTTTCCGTAAATTTAAAATAAATATTATGAATAATATGTTTTTGTTAAAATATAAGAGCATGATATAGGAATAAACAAATACGATATACCTTTCTTCAAACTCTAATTAAAAAATGGTGCTGAGCTGCATTATAAAACATATTGACCAAAACATCTATTATTAACACGATGATGATTTGCAACTTAATATAATGTATTTGTAATAAAAAAAAACTCAAATGTTGTGCTTGACATCAAGCTCATAAGAAAGATGAGTAACAGTTTACCGAAAAAGGAAGAAGAAAGATGTGTAACGTATACTTGCAAAAGTGATAAAACTCATTCCGCGATTCACTCTTGATGCTTCCTCAAAAGTGATAAACAAATACGATATACCTTTCTTCAAACTCTAATTAAAAAACGGTGCTGAGCTGCATTATAAAACATATTGACCAAAACATCTATTATTAACACGATGATGATTTGCAAGTTAATATAATGTATTTGTAATAAAAAAAAACTCAAATGTTGTGCTTGACATCAAGCTCATAAGAAAGATGAGTAACAGTTTACCGAAAAAGGAAGAAGAAAGATGTGTAACGTATACTTGCAAAAGTGATAAAACTCATTCCGCGATTCACTCTTGATGCTTCCTCCTGTTAGAAATGAATGATAATATTCTATAAATAAAAGTGTGGAAAAAGAAACATGAATTTGAGAGTAAAAAATAATTAATTATTATATCAATACATACATTTCATGATTAAGGGTACTATTTGTAACACGACCATTGACATCAAGTATCCATATCACCAATCAAGCAAAATTAAAATAGAAAGTAGCAATCGACAAAGGCTTAAAATGGTAGCTAACAACATACCTATTGTGCATAAAATACTAATCATGCTCGGTCATAACAAATTAGCAGTGATGAATTGATACTAATGCATGACAATAAAAAAATAGCAGTTAAAAAATACCAAAGGCTGAACCAAGTGGCAAGAAAGATAAGGAAAAGAGACGCGAATAATATATTTTTTTGTCTTTACCTGTACCATACAACGATGTTATATCTTTGAAGAAAGAACCCAATATACTACAGTAGTCTTTGAAATACTTCCTTGTAAACTATATTAAGGGTACTATTTGTAACGCAGCCATTTTCATCAAGTATCAATATCTTCAATCCATGCTTACTCTTTACTCTAGACAGTGCCACATATAATTGCCCATGAGTGAAGACAGGCTTAGGGAGATAAATTGCAACATGTGAAAGTGATTGTCCTTGACACTTATTGATAGTCATGGCAAACGATACAATCAGGGAGAATGGTCTTCTTTGGAAATTTATAGGAAATGTATGACTCGATGGGCTCATCGTCATTCTAGGGATTAACACAGTTTCCCCTATATTGCTTCTTGTAAGTACAATTGCCTCAACAACATGATTCCCCAATTTTGTAATAAGCAATCTCGTGTCATTGCATAAACCTCTCGATTGATCAATAAAAAACACAAAACTAAGACTGACTCGTCACATACACAAATTAGATGATAGTTGCGATACAGAAAAAATAGATCTCAAAATCCGCCTTGCAACGCCGACACATCTTATTCCCAAGCTTCTTACTAATCTCATGATTCTCCAATGACTCAGGTTCATCTTCAACCAATGGCGTTTCACATAAGCTAGAATTGCATATAGGGATTCCATCAAAAACCATCTCCTTGCGCACCCACAAAGACCTGATGAAATGTCTCACATTTCGTCTACACTGCTTCAATATGTTGGCATCATCTAGCGCGCGAAAAAATTCAAAGCCCATGGACCTCTGATCTTCATCAACACCAGCCATCATTATCATACTACATGCGTACTTGGCATCTAGGTGACCTTTCATCGCTGCATTAATAATTCCATCAAGGGCCACTGCTTGCACATCAGAATTCGATGTTTCTCGGAAGTAATTGACCGATTCCTCACGATACAATTCTTCAGGATTGCCACTTTCCCTACAACGCTGCAAGAAATACACTTAGCGTCTTCTTTTCAAATCGAGCAGTGGGTCGAAGCGCGTATCATCTCCATTATCCCCACCAATAACCTTCACTCGATGCAAAAAGGGTTTTGCATTGGTAACCCATTCCAATGGCCCCATCGCAAATTTGGACAACGAAACACGTTCGTAAACATAGTTTGTTTCAGCAAGTCGATGAAATTCAGAGCAAACAAACTTGACGTTCGTGATATCCTCAACTGAATGTGAGGCAACCTTTCCGAAAATTAGTAGCAGCATATCCGATGGCAGAGATAGCAGAGACTCGACATTGACGTTCTCTACCTTCATCCACTTAAATGATGATGGATCAGCCATGGAAAAATTTACGTATGAACAATGTTGGATAAAGTGTATTTGGAATATAAGAAGGGAATTAAAATGCAACAACTGCACAATTTATAATGACAGAACATGAACCAAACACCAAACAATGAAACTCGATTCATTTTAATGTTTTGGCAAAATGTGGTAAGTCAAAAGACACATATGTAATTGCATGCGCACGCTCATGGGAATATGGAACGTCGTAGAAGAAAAATGTTTTCAAAACATATTCAGCGAACCTATGCTATTATGAAAACATTACATTGAAAAATAAAAAAATAAAAAAGAAAAAAAGAAAAATTAAAATATACAATCAGGCTATGGAATGCACGGTCGCTCTGATAACTGGTGTGGAGATAGGAGTGAGGTTTTGTGTGTGGTTTGAGACTCTTCACTTCTTTCAATGAAAACACCCATCGTTTTAATGATCTTGGATGATTTTCACAACCACAAATCGTCAAATGACGTTATCATAATGACTCTGAAACAACTTCCCATACATGAGGTGCATTTTTTTGAATGACCCAGATATCCCAGTGTCTTTTGACATTCCAATTTCAATCCGTAAAATTAAACCAGAGCCAAATTAAAAAATAAAATTTTAAACCATTTAAAATTGGGTGAATAAATTGAGATACATTTAAATTTTGAATATTAAAAAATACGAAATAAAACAATTTTTTAGATTTGGAGAATAAATTGATTTTAAATCTTTCACAAAACAGTAAAAAAAAGATTAAATTTAAAATCAAATTTATAACAAATCCTGACCATTGTTAAATTTAAGAAAATATTGTCCATCGATCACAGTAATCCAAATTCAAATTTGTCTTATATAATCCAAATTAGATTTTAGACAGTAAATAATCCAAGGTTAATAAAAGATTAAAATTTAAAAATGTGAAAATAAGGAACAAAAGTTATAATTTCGATAATTGTTTTATAAATTTAAATAGAATTATTTTTCGAGTAAATAGAATTTTTTTTTCAAAAAACGTAAAGTTTTTAATTAAACTGAATAAAGGTTAAAACAAACAAAAAGATTAGAATATATGATCAACATTAGTTAAGAAAAAAACAAAGATGTCAACAAAAGAAATATTTGAATTCAAATTTAAAAATTCAAGTTAGTTTAAATTCAAATTAAATTTTAGACAGTAGTTTGAGATGTTTTTAGTAGTTATAAATAAGATTTTCATGAAAAACACAGTCATTTTTTTTTAATAACAAAACAGGCATTTTTTGAATTTCACTGAATCAAGGTTAATAAAAGATTCAAATTTAAAAATGTGAAAATAAGGAACAAAATTTTTAATTTCGATAAATTTTTTTATTAATTTAAATATAATTTTTTTTTTCAAAAAACGTAAAGTTTTGAATTAAACTGAATAAAGGTTAAAAAAACAAAACGATTAGAATAAACATCAGTTAAAAAAATACAAAGATGTAAACAAAAGAAATATTTGAATTCAAATTTAAAAATTAATGTTAAAATTTGTAGATTGGAATGTTACGATGAGTACGAAAATTTTGTTTGTTTGGAAAACAAAAGAAATATTTGAATTCCAGTTAATAAGGTTAATAAAAATCTAGAATTATATGCCATATATAAACAATAAAACAGTTTTCCCCTCCCAAAAACAACGCCGACGAATACATCAATAAACACCACTCAACATAGTAAAACATCACAAAACGATTAGAATATTTAATAGACGTCAGTTAAAAAAAAAGATGTCAACACTTAAAAATGTAACTCCAACAAAAAAAAATGTCAATTCAACATTTTGTTGCAATAAACATCATGTCCCAAGACGCAAAATAACACTCTTCAGTCACTGTAGCCCAATCTACGGCGTACTCTCATCTGCTTCTGCATCAAATCTATTTAAAAAAAAATAAAGAAAAAAATCAATTATCACTGTTTTCACTGTGCGTAAGAAAAAATATATATATACACCACCGAATTAAAAATAAAAATAAAAATTATAAAATACATAACTCTTTTTCAAGCTTTATTTTCTTCGTCGTCCGAACAGCTAAAAATTAAAATTCTCCAGCAATTGAATCATGAGAATTGAGCACAGGTGTCAACATCGTCAGAGAGATATCACCAACGTCAGCACTATCACAGGTCTGACTCTCAACATCTTGTTTTTTTTTTCACATAAAAAAAGTTATGTCAAATGTATATATATATTTTTTCATAACATGAATCTAAATCCAAATCATAGGTTACCGCAGCCTTTTCTTGTTCCGACGAAACAACTTCATTTTCGCGTGCATTATTGAAATTTGCTTCATCCGGTGATATACAACAACCAACAACAGTCAA